CAAGTGCCGTTGCCTGCCGTCTTTCCCGGCCAATACGTACCGTAGTCAAAACCCTTCAAGAGCGAGTTTGAGGACAACTGAACCCCAACATGTCCACGTTTGCCATCAGAAAACGAAACGAAATGCGATGAACTGGAGGCAGGCCCAATGCCCGTAACGCACAAATCATTGCGTTGCTGCCACTCGTCAATTTTATCTGGAATAGGGCTTAGCGTCCGTCAAACCCCAGGCCCTGCCTGCATTTCACTGTAACTTGCACTTTGTGATTTCCTATGTTCAAACAACGGACACAACTACAAGCGCTGAAGATCATGGCATCCTGCAGTGTAGCCTCACTTGGCGGCTGTGATTGATGGCATACACACAGTACTTTTGACAGACACCTCCAGACATCGACTTATCATGCAGGTGCCGGGCCCCGGGGAAAGTGTTGCCCTATGTGTAGTCTACACTACACAGCTTGATTCCATGGCAGTGGAGACAATGGATGATACTGACAGTGAGAGGACAACGACTAAATGAATTGCAGCATGACCGTAGAATTGACAGGCAAGGATTTGACTTCATCCGGCCCCAGATCTCGCTCCAGACCCATTCCAAAGTCCGACTGCCGATACACAAGCCTTTCATACTATACCTACGACCTAGGCACACCCTTTCAAGTCAATCGGATGCTACTGTAAGACATGGTCATGTATGTCACTGCACCGTGCACTACATGTATAGTCGCACACCTCACACTCACATTAGAAGAAAAAAAAAACCCCCCCCCAAGCCAGACCGACGCGCTGGATAAGAGGCCGCGGTTTTCACCTTGATCGCTACAACTCTCGCTTGTTTTCACCTTCCCGGGCAAAGCATACCTAGACATCCCTCTCCCCATGCTGCATTCTGGTTTCACTAGTGTAATACTCATGCATCTCGCCAGAAAAACAAGGACCGCTACTTATACGGCAAGTACAGGCCTACGGAACCACTGCAGTCCCCGCCCCGCCCCTGCTGCCTGCCGCCACCACCACCACCGAAATGTCTCCGGGGTCGGTCCATGCCTCCATCACTGGCCCCCCCCCCCTCTCTTCCAAATCCTCAAGTCTCAAGCAGCGGTAGATCTAAGCAGGCTCCTATTCCTGCTCTTTTGTGTCTTTGGTCTCCTCGTCCTTGACAGACTCGGACGTCTTCTCATCTTGCTTCTGATCCTGCTGCTGCTGCTTCTTCTTCTTTTGCCCAACCGTCGTGATGCCAGCAGCTTGGTTGTATAGCTCCGTCATGTTGTACTTCTTCAGCTCATCCCAATCACCATCCACAACACTCAACCCACAGACCGTCTGTGGTTGCCCCGTAAAAAAAAAAGTCAGTATTAGCAAGCGGATTCTCCACCATTAAAAGGTACAGTACTTCGAGAGTGAAGTGAAGCAGTGCGCGCGAGGTGTTTGTGGGTCAAGGGGAGGGAATCCCCCAAGACTATAGGCTGTCTTACCTGAAAGATGTCCACCAAAATGACCTTGTCCGGGTTGGTCAAATCAACCCTGTGACGCTCATCGTTGATAAGACCGGCAATGGTGTTGATGACCACGTCGCGCTTCAGGTTACTGTGGTTACGAATGGTGGGCCGGATGGCGTAGGTGTAGGGCTTGTACTCCCTCTTCTTGTTGTCGCCCTCCTTGTTTGTCTCTGCCTCCGCACCATCTCCTTCTGTCTTCTCGCTCTTTTTCCCGCTCAAGTCAAAGTGCTCCTCCAAGACCTGCCTAGCCGTTTCGGCCAGGCCCTGCTCCGTCGCCTTGCCCATGACGCTCATGGGCGTCAACCGGTTCAGATAGCGGCACTTGATCTTCCTAATGTCGGTGCACTCCTTGGTGTCGACGACGATCCTCTTGACGAACTCGACCGGCTCGATGGGGTCCTTTGTACGCACAAACAGGAGACAGTCAATGTTGAGCTTCATGGCCTTGAGCAGGGCCCTGTCTTCCTCTTGCTTTTGCACATCGGCCGTCTTGTTCTCCTTAATTGCGCCGAGTTCCTTGGCGATGGCGGCCTCAATATCTAGGTCCGCATCGTCGTCATCTCCCACTTTGGCTTCTTTGCTGGCGGGCTTGATGCCGTACATGGTTTCAATGTACTCTTCAAAGAGGTTGATGACTTCCCGCGCAGCCTTGTTCTCCTGGTGGCGTGCGCAGGTCACCCAGATGCCGCGGTCGCCGATCTGAGGGATGGAATTGCGCTCGAGCGCGAGCTTATTCGCTTGGTTAGGTGTTGTCCATTTGCCGGCGTTGCCAGTCTGTTCGATTTGGGTGTTAGTCACCACGCAAGCTGACTTGTACAGGAAAAGGAGGAGGGGGGGAGAATTGCAGACGTGATAAGTTGCTCAGGCCTTTGGCCACGTCCCTGACAACTCCAATAACCAAGTTGAATGGGCGAAAGCATTCATGAGACAACTTGTCAAAGCACCTCAACCGCATGAGAGTCTGAGGATATTTAACTGTGTAATATTTGTGATGCATGTTCAACCAACCCGGAAACAGCTTGAAGAGCATACTTTCTCATCCAAGCTTTCCAAATAGATTCATGGCCAGCGGATCATCCCGGAGCGAATACCTTCTTCTTCTTCTGTTTCTGGCCTCCATCACCGCCGGGGGCGTTCTTTCTCTTGCCCTTGTCGCCTCCCATGTTGACTTCAGAATTCTCCTCTGGTGGGATTTTGATGGTGAGTTCGATAGATCTGGAACTAGCGCTCTCTCTACGGTGGACATTAGTCTTCGATATACAAGAGAGAGTGGGCTGTATCTGCTTTGTACGCTGACGAGGACTGCAATGGCATTTCTGACAAGCACTGGAGATACATGAGAATATTCTGATGGAAATACCTGTTATTATGAGTATAACACTAAATGACACGGGCGATCGGTGGTCGCATGTGGAAGAGGTACGTCGCGGCGCGTGTTCTCATCAAAGTTACGATTGAATGAAAGTGAAAAGAATATTTTGTAAGGACGTTTTTTTTTACCCGTACATACATCCCTGTCAGGTCACGTGGGTCCTTAAACAGCCCCTTTTGTTTTGTCCTCGCACATCAACACTCGCAAGAAGTCCAGTCTTCGATATCAGAGATATGCAAGATATCTCTGGCTATATGAGAATCCTTATGTGGTAGGGGTTTGCCGTTATTCCATTATATTGGATCTATATCCGTGGACTCTCCCGGGGCGAATGTAAAACCATCGCCTCCACATCACAGGCCCCAAATTCCCGGGAAAATCCGTCCAAGTCCTCTCATTCAAACAGTAAGCCACTTTCTTGCAACAACCATGACCTTCTCCTCCTCTTCACGTCTCTCCTCGCTGTTGGCGTCATTGTTCCCTATTCGCTCAGACTTATTCGTGGTCTCATCGTATCGTCCCCCCTTCCCTGCTACACCAGTCGCTTTTGCCAGCAGTTCTTTCTTCTTCAGTTCCATAAACTCCATTTGCATCCTCTCTCTTTCCTGTATCGGATTGAGCGAGTATCCCGGCTGGATCGGTGGTGAATTCCTCGCCAAGGAGATAAGAGATTGAAAATCTTGGACATTGGGGTATGGTTGGGCCATAAGACCGTCGCGGCGGATGAGCATTGACGGGATGCGTACTTGTAGCTGGGATGGGGTGAGAGCGGATCAGTACGAATGTCGGGTTTTTCATGGGCGTATAAAAAGCAAGCGGGGATGATAGCATCAAATAAACCAAGAACCCGAGACTCCAGACTCACCTGCGCCAGAATATTGGCATACCGGATCCCCAGCTCCTGACCGATATACCTCAGTCTCCCCCTCACCCACGTCCTCTGATCCTCCGTCAAATAATCCTGCCCCATGACACATGCCAACGGCCACGTTAAAAAGTACCCAGACAGTCCTTTTATCCCATCATCGTCCTCGCCACATCCAAATCCAGACAACTGTTCCTCTTTTTGTTCATCGTCCTCGCCATCCTCCTCCTCCCCCTCCTCCTCATCATCATCATGATCATGATCATTCCAATTTCGATTACTACGATCCTGACCCTTCCCCTGACCCTGCTGCCTCCTCTTCTTCGTCCGATAATGCCATCCTAAATGATACGGCACGCTCGCTAGCACATCGCCAATAACCTCAGCACACACCGTGGCACTATGCGCGTACTCGGGGGTGGTCCGGTAGTCAACGGGACTACACGCCCATGCCGCGCAGCGAACTGTGATGCTAGCGAGAATCAGCCGCGTGACGCGCGCCATATTCCATACCGAGGCGATCCAAACGTCATTGTACACGTCCACGCGGCCCGGGAATACCTCGGCGTGGGCGTAGTCGGTGTTGGCGACGTAGTTTTGCCAGCACAGGGTGCGGTAGTGCCAGTGCGGCGGAAGGCAGGCCATCCAGTCGACGATGGCGCGGTCGAGGTCTTGGGAGCGCCGCATTAAGGAGAGTATTTGGGCGGTTCGTTGTTCGTAGGTGGAAGAAGGTGAGGATTGTGCTGAGGATGAGCGAGGAGAGGAGGGAGAGGAAGGGGAGGTACCGGCGGCGCTCGCGGCAATCCCGTGCGTCATCATGCGAGTTACTTCGGCGCGGAGCTCACTGGTTTGGAGGTTAAGACGGCAGCAGTGGGCGGCATAGGAGTCGTTGACTGCGTTGTCGAGCCACCAGTCGACGCCCATTATCGGGGGGCAACCGGAAGTCAAAGCGTGGATGATCTATAGACGTCGTTAGTACACTCTTGTGTGATGATCCGTCTGCAAACTTGTTGTCCTTGCCTGCTGTGTTCGCACGGCGATGAACAGCTGTAACCCGGTCTGAGTAGCGAGCTGTTTCTTTCCTCGGGCCTTGACAAGTTGAATGGCCCCTTCAATATGAGAACCCCACGCAAACTCGCCCATTTTCTTTGCCGTAATGTTCTCGTACATACCCAAAAGTAACACCGTCGCCAATACCGAATCAGATGTGCACTTGACTCGATCCACCAATGCGGCCTGAGTGGCTCTCAAGGCCTTTGCATACTCTCCATGTGCGCTCGCAACAAAGTCGATCCCGTCGCTCTTGACTCTGTTTCCCAGCGAAGCCAGTGCACAAGCATTAAAAGCAAACTGGAGATGGGGTGCCGATGACATCGTCTCGGTTTTCATGAGTGGGATCAGATAGTCCATGAACCCTCTCGTTGTTCCCTGGCGGGGAATGAGCACAAAGTTGGATACAAAGTGACATGATGCCTGCGTCTCGGTGGGGATTTGAATGGCCGGTATGACCGCAAGCTCGAAAGGTGACCTGACTGCCTTCCGCGCCGTAGATGTGAGAGAAAAGTGCCGCTTCCTGTCGACGCTAGATGATGACGATGATGCTCCTGGACTTGAATATGACCTTGGGGCGCCTGATCCTGAGCTGGAGCCATCACTCCCTGCTGACATCTTTTGCTTTCCCTTCTTGTTGGCTCTCTGGACCCTTCGTTCTGTTGCTTTGGTAACATTACGGAAGACTAGGTCGAAGTCATCCTTGTACCCGGGACATTGTTTCCTTGCTCTGAGACACTGATTACATGTTGGTTTGGTTTCATCGCACTGGATAACGCACGAACAGCAAGTGATTGTGCCGCGGAGTCAGCTATTGCTGTAGTCAAGTTCATCGCATACATCCCGGCTTACCTTGATTCTTCGTGTGCGACACACTTGACAACCATTGGAGGGCTTTCCAAGATATACCATGGTCACAAGATTCGTGGGAGCAGGCTCTTCGCTAATGAGGCCTGGAGGATGGAGAGCCGGAAGGAGCAATAGGGCGCTGCTTCGTGTGGGCAACAGTCCGAATATAGTGCGGCTGGGTGCCGGATCAGGCGGTGGGTGGGTAAGCGTTTGATAGAATGACGACACTCGCTATGGTTGGTGATTGTTGAAAGGTCTAGGTGGTCGATGATCCTTTGGCCCTTAAAACAGATAACGTAAGTGAGAATTACGCTCTTCGAGACCTCAAGATTTCCAGCAAGGCTATCTTTTGTATCTCTGAGGGGCTAGTAGTAGGTAATCTGACTCACTACATGAGACAGTGATGAACGCCAGGAGAGATGACAAGGACAAGGGATAACTATAACTTCAACGTTGCTGCCACCTTATCTGCTCTAGGTGTGTATTAGCCGCTTTACTTTCGAGGGGAGACGGAGATAGATATGGCGACAATTTGAGCATGCACAACATGGACAGACAAATATCCGAGGGGTGGAAAATAGTATCGTGCCGTTTATGTATTCAAAAGATGTTGATCGGAAAGGTCTAATTCCCCCTTCTGCTTCAGGGTTGAGTGTCATTCGTAAATTCCACGCCACAACGCCAAGTCTGGCTTGACCTCAGAACCGGGTTGGTCCGCAACACAACGGCGCTCGATGCCACCTGAATGCTGAAGAAACTGTTTACTCTTACCTTATCAAGAACTGAGATTTGTTGAAACTGCGTAAACAGTCTCGTTTGAGCGTAGTTTGATGCCTGGATGGTATCACAGGCGTAAACTCTCAGACTACCAAGACCATCATCTTACCGTCATTGTTCCGACAAGGGTTGTGCGGGTGATAGGTTAGCTGGTTGGCATTAGCTCTTCAGGGGTTGGTAGCACGATCTCCATGGTCTAGCCCAGTCTTGCCCGTTTGGAATCACGCTGCAGGTCGCCCCTATTTGTTCCATTAGTAAACGTAGTATAGTGTAGTACAATCCAAGCCCTGGTTTATTTATTTGTTACTTTGGTACACAAAAAACCAGCGCTCATCAGACTTGGTAAGCGGCCGAAATTCTCGCGGATAGATGCTGTAAATTAGTATCTTGACGTTCTGATGGGGACGGAGAGGTGCTTCTGTAACGTTGAGAGCCCGAATCATTGTCGAAACATAGATTGTGAACGAGTTGTTCTCTTCCTAAAACCAATGAGGTCTCTAGATTGGCCTGTTTTGCCCCGTCACAACAACCAAACTAACAAAGAACCCAGCATTGTAGTGTACCGTTCCCCGGAATGTCGGAAGTATTCCGACATGTTCCTGCGTGATACATGTAAAGGAAGTTGTGTGCCAAAAGACCGGCAACACTGATTCCATGACATTGTGTTGGACATCAAGGGGTCAGGTTTTCATCGAGCTAAGTTGAACGGGCACCCTAAAACTAACATCAATCCACTACATTCTAAGTCAACCAACGGAGGCCTCGTTTGCCGAACCCACGGTCGCTTTTGTTTCTCTATATACCAAAAAATTTTTCAGGTACGCCGACGTCTAAGGGTCAAATCCCGACTGGAAGTTTACATCAAGGGAACGGCAGTCGGCCATGCCAATAATCAACCGTGCTATCGCCGTAGCTCTGGTCTCCGCTGTTAGCTTTCATCAAACTGCCCTTCAACCCATTCTCTTCCCAAGCTTTATTTTTCGCTTTACAGGCAAACTCCTAGATCAAGCCTTAGCCGAGGTTTCGAGTTCGCGACTGTCATTACCCCCAGATAAGGGAGTGACGTATTATCGAGTTCAAAGCAGAGAACAGCGGCATCGGCAGGCGAATGTGTTGCGTCCGACTCGCATCGTGGCAACTTCCTGCGCCACACGGTAGGATCCATCGATCTCACGGTGCGTATGAAGATTCAAAGTTATTGCGAAGCAGCCAAGAACCTCCAGAGCCCCCTGGGGAGCATATAGGAGATCCTAATCCTAGAGCTTTTGTGTGCCATTGCTACCTGAATACAACTGTGTAGCGCTGAAAGCCCGAAGTCGATAGGAGCAAATGTAACAAGCCGCTGACACTCTGTACTCTTGCAGGTCTAAACATCGCTCAATGACCTTCGTCGAACATACCGGCGACTCCTTCTAGATCAGGAGTCGCTTGCCTCTTGCCAGTTCCTTGTTCAGTACCAGTCACGGTAGTATCGACGCCCTGCTGAGGTGTCATGAATTTCTGGGCCATCTTGCTCCTCTTAGGAGCCTTCTTGACAAGATCTTCTCTAGGGTCCTTGAGCTTGCCCATCTCACTAATGCTCACACTCTTGACATTTCTCAACAAATCGAGCACAACAGCGCGTTGTTGGCGCGAATGTGTCCCGGGGCGTCGCAGGAAAGTAAGCGTCCTATCCACTTCCTGTTCCTTAATCCCGGGCAGTGAGCAGAGAATTTGGCGGGGCGCGGAGTTACCTCCCGAGAAATCATCGCCGACGCAATAGTGAGAAAGGATCGTTGCGATCAGTGTCGCAAGGTCCTTCTGGGTGTCAACGAAATAAGGATCGTTCATCGAGGAGATCGCGGCTCGCATCACGTCGGTGCCGAGGAACTGGTGAATTTCCGCTTTGGTAGCATCGGGAATAGGGTAGTTCTCATCAGGTAGCAATGGATGAGAGGGTTCCTTTTGCTCTCTAGGCTGACCCGTCTGGATCTGGAACTCCGGTACGATAGATCGGAAAACGCGCAGGACGACGCCACAGCACCTGGTATCACGCATGTGAATCGCGTGGCAAAGGAATAGTAGGAGAGGGCCGGCGATTGACGTTTGCATGAGACAGAATCTCCGAAGTGATGGATGCCGAGATTCCGGAGTGGTGCCGTTGGGAGAGGCCGGAAGGTTGCTAGGTGGTCCTAAGTAGGGTCAGTAAAACGTCAAGGACGTACCAGTGGTGATATGAAAACTTACCGGTCCTTGCCGGGTCAAGGAATTCAGCCACCATGATGGCTGCGGTATATGTCAGTTGCCTGAGTATGCTTTCCGCCTTCATCTCCTCCGTTAGTTCCTCATTATCTGCGACCTGCACGGTTTGCTTTTGGCCCAGCTTCTCCCATTCGCTGCTGATCTTGGCATCCATCTGCTGGAAGCACGCGGCTAGGATGGGAGGTAGGAAATGATCCCTTAGCTCCACAGGACAGTGATCAACGAGATACCTCACCAAGTTCAGCAGATTAATAAGCTGATGAGATGAGAGGCTGAACGAATCGGCGAACAAGGCGTTTGCCAAAGGTCCAGGAAGTTCCGTGAACCCATAAAACTGCACATCAAGTCGGCTCATGCAGTAGATAACGGCGTAGCATGCCTCGCGGACAAAGCGCACAGTTCCACGAATGGTGGAGGCAAGCCCTTCTAGCGTGTTCTTCTTGTCCAGGACTCGCGCATAGAAGTCGTCTTTGCTGCCTTCCGAAATACCGGCTTGCCAAAAGCGGTCAGTCAGGAGACGGCTGACAACAGGACGCATCTCTTCTGGGAGCAAAGACCAGTTTTTCGGATCATGGCACGCATGTGCGTAGCTCAAAAACTTGAGCAGTTCTGGTAAAATGGTCGGGAACCCGTCCTGCCACAGGGCGCAGGATGCTTGATAAGCAGGAGAATTTTTTTCCAGTTTCTCGACAGAGTAGGTCAAAAATGACTTAGTTGAACGTAACGGAAGGAACTGAAGGTATGTCAGCAACTACAAAGCAAGTAGGAAGCCACGGTTCCCAGGGAAACATACCGTTTGTCTCTGTTCAAGTTCGGCTTGAAGCGCCAACCCTTCGGCATCAAGTTCCACCGCACCCCAATCACCAACTTGGTGAACACGGCGCTGTGCAATGTAGTTTTGCGCCTTGTCTAGACCGATGAGCTGGCAGAATCCCTCGAATGAGCTGAGTGATTGTCGCAACGGGGCTTCCTTCCACTGGTTTTTGACCGGCTCGACGAACTCAGAAAGACGTCTGATCCGCGTTTCTTGGTCTATGCGAGTTGCTCGGTGGCTATGGGTTTTCCACTTAGTAAGGTTTGAACATGGTGAACTGTAGCTTTGGGTGGCAAGCCATCCTCGGAAGTTCATGAGGGGCTAATCGAGGAGTCTTACATGATGATAAAGAGGAAACTGCGATACGCAATCTGGCGCTTCTCATCGAGAGTTCCAGAGGCGATCATCTCCTTGACCTTAACCTCAAGTTGGTCGTAGACGTCCTAGACAAACACATGATAAGTTAAGTGGGAGGCTAATGAACATGACAAATGACAGGCTAGCACCACTTACCAGTAAATGATCAGGCATCTTGGAGGCGAGCCTTTGCAATTCGACCATGCTTTCAGTTTGGAGATCCCTGATGGCATCATTGAAGGTCTTGTGCTCAGGCTGCAATGCAGGCCATGTCATAAGAATATGCTCGAGCACCCTCAGCATGAAGTTGGCTTTGGTGTCAAGAGCCGTAGTGGAGAAGGCGACAAGCAGCTGGAGGATACGTTTACGGATCAGAGGGTCCTAAAAGTTTGTCAGTCTTTCGTCTTCATTGCCAACTACTCAACCAACACGTAGATGACGGCATACCTCAATATTCATTTCCAACAGCCTACTACACCACTGCTCGAGATGTGTTTCGATACTCGAAATTTCCTGGTCCTGGTGCAACTTGTCAGCTATTCATCATGAGTAGTACAGCGCAGTAAGATGATCTTACTCCTCCAGGGAGTTCTCCTTGTCTTGCCCTCCACTTAACGTAGCCTTTGAGGGCTGCCTCAATGACCGTGGCATGGGCGTCAACTCTCAAAACGGGCATGGAGTTTTTGAGGTAGGTTGCCGCTAAGTTCCGCATTAGTCATCGGTCCCGTGTGTTTTACGGCTTGTGCAACTTACGATTTAGGGGTGGCTGTCCCTCATATAGAGTTTGCAAAGCATTCTCTGCCTGGCTCAAGATGTACTGGAAAGCATCCGTGAGCCTCAGCTGGATGATGCTTTCGATAATAGAACAACTGTATCGCCTATAGTTACCCAGGAAAGCATGTCTCTCCGGGATGGTATCGGTATCCTCCATGAGAAGAACAAACGTAGGATCTTCCGTATCTTCAGGAAGGCTCTCATAGCGCAACAGTCGAGAGCTACAGACGTCCAGCAGGGGAAGAACCATGTCAGTTTTCCCTATAGCGGGACCTAGCGAGCGGTGGTTAAGAAGGCGCGTCCAGGTCACAAGGACGGGAATGGAAACAACGAGGCTCTGACTTTGCACCACTGCTATTAGAAGCTTCAGGAAGTCCTGAATGTCAACCTGGGGAGGTATGGAAGCGTACTTCCGGTCAAGGTAGTTTCCAACACACGAGATCATCTGTGATTGTCAGTAATAGACCTAGGGAAACAATGCGGGCGGGTTTCCCCAGCGGTGTAAATGTAGCAACTTGCCTCGGAGAATTTCTTGGCAAACTGGTACTTGTCGTCGTCAATGTCCTCAGCGTCCACTGTCGACCATTCAAAAAGTCGTCTGCAGAGGTCAACCGACTCGGGGCTGTACATGGGAACAACCAGATCGACGAACTCTTCGCTGCTGAATGCTGACCGAGAATAGAGAGAATGCAACGCCTCCAAAGCAGCCTGTTTCAAGAGATAAGAGTCAACAGCTGGAACTCGAGCAGATATCAAGAGCAATCGCACAAATGGAAAAGTGGTTGGACAAAGAGGGAAGGCAAGATTACCCTTTGCACGGTCACGTTTGAGTTGGCAAGGCCATTGCATATAACAGGACGGCAACCGGTAGCATGAATGGCTTTTGGTATTGCCCAAGGCATCACGGAGTTGAGAACGGCCAAAGCTTTGACGACACAGGCCCGGACGTCCTCATTACTGTCGAGGTTCTCGTTCAAACAGTCTCGGACGAGTTCTGTTACTCTACTGATCCATCCGTCGTCACCGAATCGCACCTGGGGTTCGTGTTGACGGGTTGGGAAGGCTTCGCTGAGCACTGCAGAAGGGGTGAAGATCTCAACGCACCCCTTGCTCAGCGCCCCCTCTCTATGAGCAACGATGGCGTCTTCTCCGTTGAAAATCTCCTCGGACAAGATTTCGAGAATCAGGAGCACGAACTCCTTGTGCACGGATGAGCCCGGAACCTGCCATAGGCGGTTCAGCAACACGTCCATATCCATCCACTCCGCAACCCAGCAGCGCTTAGCTATCTCGACCCAGAGCTGGGCCATCTTTGTTCTGAGAAAGGGCGGATCTGATTTTGCGACACCCTGTGCCAGTTGCAAGATCCAACCGCGGAGAAACTCGCGTTGGTTGGTGTCATATTCGGACCATTTGTGCTTGACCGCATATTCGAGAAGAGACAGGCCGTAGTGGCGAACGACGGGTTCTTGAGAGCCTCCGGAAGCAAGGCTGAAACCGTGCGAGGGCGCGTCACCGCGGGTCTTGACTTCTTCCAGAAATGCCTGAGCTTCCTGTCGGGCCTGGTTGGGAGAGTAGGGGCTGTGGACAATGTTGAGCGCTTCGTGAATCCTCGCGATGACGGGATCGGCGCCGGCACCGGCGGCCCCGTTGGTGTCCATGTCGCAAACAGGAAGAGTCAGTGGCTAGAGGAATACTCGAAGGTGGAAGTAGATGTATCTTGAGGACGCAGAGGTCGGGATGATCGAGCCTGTTTGTAGCGATACGGACCGCGGCGGAATTCGAGACCGAGAGGGTGTAGAAGATGTGTGCTCAAAAAGAGGCGATCGTGGACATAGGATTGCTGTACCGGGTCACGCTCGATTAGACTGGGGAACCGTGGAAGACTATGTAGGTACAGTGTAGATGCACCGTAGGGTGTGTTGTGTTTACCTCAACGGCAGCGAGATCGCCCAAGGTAATGTTTGGCGGGAACCGACGTGATGGTACAGACGATCAAGCTGGAGGGAAGCAGAGCTAGGCTAAGTGGTGAGCCTGATGGTATGACTTAGTCTACACCGCAACCGTTAGTGGGTAGCCTGGTGCCTTGAGTAATATGTGAGCGAATGAAGCAAGCCAGCCAACGTTAGAGGCTGGAATAAGATATTGGAGGACAGGTAGAAGGTAGGTAAGCAAAGGCGCGTCGAGGAGTCTCGCCTCGCCGGTGATCTATACAGGAAGAGAAGGTTAGGTAAGTACCTCCAAGAGGCACAAGGTGGTGACGGGAAATTGGAGTTGTGAGCCTGGCGGGATGTTTTGGGGCCCGGGCAGCATGCACGAAATTCCACAGGCCGGGGAAATGACGGAATTAGTTCACTTGGGTTGGAAGTCCACCGTGACTTGCTGCGTGTTATGGAACGTTGTCCATCCACGGAGGCTTGACCGCCGGGGCCACAGGTAGGTCCACTAGGTTAGGTATGTACACAGGCGACCAGGAGCCCGGTCCCTACAACTCCCCTATATTTTACAGTGGCAGAGGCAGTGCCGTTTCGCGCAAGGTAGTCTAGACGGGAGGTATGTAGGGGTGGCGCTATAGGTACCTGTAACAGCACGAGTACCCGAGGCAGGCGCGATGGGGCCGCGTTTCGTACCTACCTAGTTAGAGGTACCTCTACCTAGGTAACCTTACAGACACCTAAACTAACCTCCTACCTGTACCTAGAGGTACCTAAAGTACCTACCTAGTGCTTGCCCAAGCCGCACTAGTGCAAGTCAAACTCCACTGAAGTAAGGTACAGTTGTACACCATATACCTCTGGAAATTAGTGTAGTGTACAATAGGGTAGGTGGGCAGACACGCTTCAGGCTGGGATCGGAGCGGGCTGCGGATCCATCGCCGCAGGAACTTCATCGATCCAAAACTCCACAGCACACCCACATCACCAGGAGGGGCACCTAGGTAGGTAGGTAGGTACCTCAGGACCTCAGGTTGGCTTCCATAGGTAAACAACGAGGGATGGAAAAAAGAAGGCGGTCAGCTTATCGCTCGTTATCGGGAGGCATGTAGGTACCTACTGTACTATGTACATGATGCCTCCCGTCCCTCACAGTGTGCTTGTACAGAATTACCTATGCATGCACCCCACTGACGGAATGAACTGTTCGCTTGAAAATAGCTGCGTCACGACGAACACTTGAACGCTGTTTCGTTCTTCCGCGGTCGGGACATGTTCCTGAAACCCCCCGACGTGCTTTCGGCCTTCGAATCCTTCTGGTTGACTTTACTGTCGACACTATCTATGTAGACATGTCGTATCCTCACCCTGGCCAGGATAGTCTAGGCACATTGTTCGCCTTTGTTCTTCAAGCCCCAAGCTCAAGCTTCCAAAGACACAACAGCTTGTCATAAAAACTCGTCGATACGACCGCGAGGGTTCCCTCCGCGCTCAGCTGACAATCACTGCCATAGTTCATGCTCTTGTGCTCCTCAAACCTCCCAGTCACTAGGAACTCATACTCCCCAGCGCCGCTATTGGAGAGCTCGACAACCCGCGTACCCGCATGCATACACGACACCAGCATCGTCAAGCGCCAGCCCTGCCCATCCAAGAGGCCCATCTCTTTCTTGACAATCTTCAACCTCCATACGCCTCCTCCGAGGTTACTTTCTGCTAGCTCGACAGCCCGCCCAAAGCCGTAGGCCGGGATAGAAAAGAGCCGGATGTGATCATCGTAGCTTCCCGTGACAACGAGCTCAGACTCGCCGTCCTTCAGCCCCAGGGGCAGTATCGCCGTCACTCCAGCACCATGGTCTCGCACGTTGACAGGCGGACGGAGCGCCTCGATAGTATAGGGGCTTTCCGATTCATCGTCCTCCATCGCATGCGCGCTCCGGGTGCGCTTGCATACTTGGTAGCGCAACGCCGAGTCGTCACCTCCTGATAACAGCAGAAACGAGTCGTTTTCTTCCTCTTCAGGGGGGCTGAGAGACGGGGAGATGGATACATACCAAGCCTCGAGGGTGTGAGTGAGGATCGGCTCAGGGTGCATCACCCAGTCGCTGCCATCAAGGTCTCTCCCGAGGTAGATTAGGTGTACATAGCCGGCAGTTGTGGTTACGGCAACCATATCCGGCTTCGTAGGATGCCAGCTGAAGTGGGTGAAGATGACCTCGTCCTTGTCACCTAGCCAGTCCTCCGCCGTTTTGCACATACTTGCCATGTCCATGGTCTTGAGATGCTTCAGGGGTTCTGTTTCCCCAAGACTTAACCGGAACAGAGCCAGAGTAGCCGTGCTGGAGACGGCGGCGCACATGTCTTGCTTGCCTGGTGCTGGGCTGAAATGAAGGTCGAGGATGGCCGATGGCTGCATCAGCGTCTGGACGTGGACTCTGATGGCTTGTCAGTTTCCGTTGGTGTGCTCTTTGCTTGCTTGACAGTGGCTAGACTTACAGCTGGTCAGCCACGAGCTGAAATGTAAGAATGCTGCCATTGCGGTTTTGTGGCCCCTCCTTCTCTCCTGTCACCGCAGCCTCGTCTTTGTCGATGTTCTCGTCCTGCGCCTCCACCTCCTTCGCTTCAGCAGTTTGCGCAGCAGCGGGCCCTTCGTATCCCTCCAGGTTGTACGTTCCGATCAGAAAGTATGACGGCGCAGACGGGCAAAATTCGATGCAACTGGGCGGAAGATCAAGCTGCATTGACTGAAGGGAGGAGACTGGCTCCGGCCACTTTTCACTGGAATCACCCATTTTCTCAGTGAAGCCACAATGCCATGCCGACTTCAGATCAGCAGGCACGATTTGGCGCGTAAGAAGATGATCGCAGAAGCTAGGCCGTATAATGAGGGGGAAAAATGATGAGGATAAAATAGTTGTGACTACGGTCTCTGTGCAGGAGACTATTGGTCGGTTGGTCGTGACGTGATTATTGAGGTAGTGCGTGCTAATTGTTTTGATTGTTCGGCTCTTTTCTCATGTTTTTGTCGTCTTTTTCTATCTTGGGGGTTGTTTGAAAATGATTGAGAAACCCACACTCGCACTGCAGCAGCAACCACCCCCACATTTCCATCATCCTATTATTGTTGTTGTTGTCCGCTCCCGACAACATCCAGCTTATGGAAAAAGTTGTCGTGTTATAATTGTACACACCAATATAATCAAGCCAAATGATACGTTCCCTACTCCGCCCATCTCCGAATCCGAGCCACGCTTCTAGTGCGGCTCGGTGTCTGTTTGCTGGTGCATCATCCCATACCTCAACGGCACACGAACGCCTCAGAAGAGGCTTCCACAACTCGCCGGCTTGGCGTAACCAGTCGCAAAGATCACCGTCCAGCAAGACAGTAATCAGATGCGATAAATATGATAAAGTCATGCGGAACGGTTACGCAGTGTCCTCGATTGAAAGTCAATGACCCCCACCTCCTTGCTGTCAATGTAATGACCATGAATCCATGAGTCTGCTAACACCAGTACAGAAAAACATCAAAACAAAACAGTCTCTCAGCCAGTGACTGGTTTAGAAACATACGACGTAGACGACTGGTGGGAGAAGTGGCACCCCATCGCACGAGCAGAGACCAAGCCACCTTGCATATTCCGCAAGGATGCGCAGGGCCGTTCCCTCTACAACCCTTACACCGGTAGTCTGGTTTCCTGGCAGATTCGCGAGACCGTTGAAGGTTTCCTAGCACGCACTAAAAACGTTGAGAAAGGCTTCATCCGGGTCGCCAACCCTTATGCGCCGCCACGCTGGAAGCCGGCCTGGGAGACCTACAGCAAGGCCGGCGAGGAGCGACTGAGGATGTTTACCGATTTCATCAAGTTCTATGGCTACGGCAACGAGGCCGACGGGAAGCGGGATCTGGGCAACATAATAACGGAGCGGGCGGAGGTTATGAGGAACCTAACCCGTCTGGCCGACGCTTGCAAACTAAAGGCCGGTAAGTGGTTACTATACATACCGCCTGACCGGGTGGAGGAGGTCTGGAGGAAGATCGCCACGGCCACGGTGAAAAACGAGCTGGGGTCGGAAGCGTGCATGAGGCGCGGTGGCATGAAAAGTAGGCCACAATTGGAAGGCGAGCTGGTGAAGGTCTACTCCAGAGACTTCCGAGACAAGGCGGAGGCTGCGAGACTGCTGGAGAAGCTTGAGAAGCTCGGGGCCCTCGATCCGAATAAAGAGTATTATTACAAGTCTGGTTCGTTCCGCTACATGACATCTTATCCCCAACATCATTTGCGGACTACTACGTAGGAGAGGGACTGACCAAAAAATCACACCACGTAGATGCCTTGTCGCATCTAAATCTTTATGCCCATAATCAATGGGGTCTGAAAACTTCACTGGTGAGTATTCGATATCCATGGAATGGTGTTACATGCCTTCTTCCGGGGCATTCTGTCTAATCTTGTTGTGCTTTGTTGCTATAGCGGAAGTACTAACAGAACTGTTGTGCTCACAGTACACCTCGACTGAGTGCTGGGAGCTACTAGAAGCTATGAAAAGAGAACAGGATATGCCGGTATAATAGGTAGCTCTTAAAGTACCTGTTGGACTGATGACTGGAGAGGCAACGATAACTGGAGGTATCAAGGCTGAACAAGCGTTATTGAGCGAGACAACAGTGTCAAGGGGCCTAACTCTTCGATGGCAGTGGACATGAATATCTGACAATCTGATGGGCAGTGCATGATGCATTTCTTTGTTGCACGTTCAGGTGCTTGAGAATAGCTACCAAGGTAACATAATAGCCCATCCAGAAGCAGACTCGAGCGTAGATTCGACAAGCACCCAATTACCCTCGGGACCAGTGGCATGCTTCTTCGAGTCATCCAGCCTGATCATAGCACTGCTTGTCTGCTCTCTCACATATTGGCACTCTTTGCCCATTGCATCTCTTTCTTGTCTCCTTTCTCGTTGGGCTTTACATCCACCCCACTAAACACCCCAGCTACCCATTCCTCAGCGACATTCTAAGCCGCCTTTCTGAATGTTCCCTTCTTTCTCTTTTTGTTCGCGTTCTCCTCCTCCACGCCCAACTCCCACGCCTTTACAAACCAGCTTTGCGTCTGGTCCAGGTAGGTTTCGTCGCTGACGTCCTTGACACTTAGGCGCAGACCGCCGTCTTTGGAAAAAGCAAGGTTCTTGCGTTCCATGCGCTGGGCCGTGTAGTCGCGGAACTGGAGGGCTGAGAGGTAAACTTGATAGACAACGAAACTGATGCCGGCCACTACGACTAATGTGAGTATGAGGGGAAGGATCTGGCTGGTTTTCGTTAGCCTCTGTTGTTTGGTTTTATTGCTGGACGTTGTCTTGACGGCGGAACCCGCGCAAACGCGAAGCGAGACATGGTGTCATACCTCCAGGCAGATGAAGGTGCCATTTTCGGACTCCTGCGATTTTTAAAGTTGCGGCGTGAGTTTGATTTAGGGCGAGTGTTGTCGAGTTCTACGAAGGCAAATTAAGGGAATATCCCGGCAAACTGGGTGTCGTTCGCTACTGCATATACTTCGCTTTTGGGTGTTTCTCGTCGAACACAGAGTAGTGGGGCACGTGGTGTGAGTGTGTAGTTGCCAAGTCTGACTTATCCGTGGTGGCTGGGGGTCCCAAGATCCTGAGGTCTCGCTCGGAGGAAGGAGGGAAGATATCTCGATATGTTGATGATCCGAGTAGAGTGTTACCAAGCTGATAGTAGGTAGGCTGCGAGTAAGATGTAATGTTTTGACATAGGCAGAGTCAGAGCAGTGGTACTCGGTGAAGAGGTATCCGTGGCACAGGAGCTAGGTGGGATGAAGGTGACGAAGTGGTGAGTGAGAAGCACAGAAAGGGTTCGGGTCACAAATTATACTGGATCATAGATATAGTATCAGCCCCTGAGAGTGCAACCACCCCCAAGTGTAAAACCCCCCCGAAGTGCAAATAATCCGTCATGGCCGCCGGAATTATCTCCGCATACAACTCCTGCCAACTGCGAAGACTGACCCCGGATTTGCACTTGCAGGGGTCAAACCTTGGTAGTAGCAAAGGACACATACCCGACCGGGCACTGGGCTTTGAAGTGAGTCATGCCGCTTGTTGGAGTGTTCGGGCATCTCCTATGTAGTGGCACGGAGGGAGCTTTGGAGGCAGTGCAAACGGTAAAAAGTACATCGGATGCGGATGCAATCACCATATATCTCGTCAGGAAGGAACATACTTCTCCCGGATATCCACTGTGCCAATAATGCCGAGATTCACTGGATTGCGATGTTCATACTGTGTATGTGCCCGTCTCGCTCGTTAGGTTCCTCCATCCCTATAGAAATGTTCGGCACGTTGCTGGGCGCCTTGAGTGGGTGACCGGTGATGTTTGGGGACGTGCGACTTGGTTGAAGTCTTGGTTTCCTCCAAACGCCGTACGTGCCTAATGTCCCGCTGAAGCTCCCTCGAGGTCCCCAGCCGTCCGTCATAAGCTCAACCTCGCGTTGGTGAAATTTGTCTGTCTCCAGCTACAGATACGCAAGAACAAACAACAAATGAAAGTGTGCGAATTTGAGAACCCTCTTGGTTGGTACTTGTCCAAGGGGCTAGGTAAAACACATAATGGCCTCCATCGGAACTTGGGGTGTAGGGAATGCATTGGTGTATGAAGTTGTCAGAGGTAGTTTGATTAGGTCGGTATAAGTGTACTACTACTATACGCAGTAGAGGCCTGAACATCACGTGCTGCATACAAGTGGAGATGATAGTATGTAAGTTACCAGTTTCTTGACCTTACGACTACCGTAACATTCCGTTCTGTGGGGCAGTGGTGTACCTCGAGCTCTATGTGTTTATCGTACAGCGCATTGTCCAACACCTTCAATCCCGCTGTCACTCTTCAAAGCCCAGGTGCGGCAATACTTGATAGGTACGAACCATTACCCTGGCTGCCTAGCCCCAGCCTGCCCGTGTGGACACTCCCGCTGGTACCTACTCCGCCCAAAGCGAGGCAGCTAAGGCCAGTCTGGCTTCCTAGGTAGAGGTAGTACCTAGCTCCTGTCCTCCTGATTGATAAGTCTGATAGGTGGAGAGGCAGCCCCTCGCCGCCCGGCGCCTGATGCTGTTGTCGTAAGTCGAGAGCTGTCAACTTCCACTCCCAAGCGCGCCCCAAAAGCTCCCCATCACCAACTCCACCGTCCGCCGCTTCGCAACACCCACGACTTGTCCCCTGACTCCTTTCGCCGTTCCTCTCGCGTGCCACAAGCGTCATCGATATATCCACCAACAGGTCCCGGCCATTAATCTCTCCCGCCTCGTCAGAGACCCAAGCAGCGGGCGACAAACACCATGGCGGCTCCTCCTCCCAACGATGGCTACGGCCAGTATCCCCCTCAGCAGTACGGCGAGCAACCCCAATACCCTGTCGATCCCGCCCAACAAGCATATGGTAGCCCGGCCTCTCCTCCGCCCGCGGCCGCCTCCCAGCACGGCGCCGAGCATGGCAAGAAGAAGAAGAGAGCATACGCCGCCCAGGCCTTCGAGGTTGCCACAGGAGGCAATGCCGTAGTAGGCGGACAGCCAGCAGCAGCACAATACGGGATCCCTCAGCCAGCAGCACCGGGATTTGGTGGATATCCGGCGCAAGATGCCCAACAAGTGGCGTACGGCGCTCCGACAACACCGTACGGCGCGCCTCAGCCTGCCGTACCCGGAGTCGGAGGCTATCAGGCCCCTGATCCCTACTACTCCCAAGGTGTTCCTCCGGCCGCCGTTGGCCCTGCCCCCGGAGGTGTTGCCGGTATTACCGCCGGCATCCAGTCTATGGGCTTCGGAGGACAGCCGCAGCAGCCGCAGCAACTTCCTGCCCAGACGAGGGGTCATGTGAACCAGCTTTATCCCACCGATCTACTCAACCAGCCCTTTAATGTTGCCGAACTCGAGCTGCCGCCTCCCCCTATTATTCTTCCCCCTAATGTAAGCTCTCTGGCTTCTCGACTTGTGTTACGTGCACACTGCTTACTTTTTGCTGCTAGTCTAGCGTTACCCCTTCCCCAGATGCCAACTGCGCGCCAAAGTATGTGCGATCGACCTTAAATGCCGTACCCACCACCCACTCGCTGCTCAAGAAAAGCAAGTTGCCCTTTGCGCTCGTTATTCAGCCATATGCAGCTCTTCATGATTTGGACGATCCGGTTCCAGTTGTGCAAGACCAAGTGATCTCGCGCTGCCGAAGATGTCGATCCTACATCAACCCATTCGTGACCTTCCTTGACCACGGTCACAGATGGCGTTGCAACATGTGCAACCTAACCAACGATGTTCCCCAGGCCTTTGATTGGGATGCGGCGGCCCAGAAGAGCGTGGATAGATGGCAAAGACATGAGCTTAACCATGCGGTGGTTGAGTTCGTTGCGCCGCAGGAGTATATGGTCAGGCCTCCCCAGCCTCTGGTCTATCTTTTCTTGTTTGATGTCAGCTACGCGGCTGTCTCCACAGGTCTCTTGGCCACCAGTGCAAGGACAATTCTGGATAGCCTCGACAGGATACCGAATGCCGATCGCCGCACCCGTCTTGGATTCATCGCCGTGGACTCAAGCCTGCATTATTTCTCAGTCCCGAGAGATACGGAGGAAAATGGCGAGACGAGCATGCTTGTGGTCAGCGATCTGGATGAGCCATTCCTCCCAGTTCCGGGCGAGTTGCTGGTCCCCCTCACCGAGTGCCGCCAAAACATCGAAAGCTTCCTCAACAAGCTGCCCGAGATGTTTGCGAACAACCAGAGCAATGGAAATTGCATGGGGTCAGCTCTCAGGGCAGGTCATAAGCTTATTGCCCCTCTCGGCGGCAAGATCGTGGTGCTGAGCTCATCTCTGCCTAACGTGGGTTACGGAAAGCTCGAGATGAGGGAAGACAAGAAACTTCTCGGCACGTCCAAGGAAAGCGGGTTGCTGCAAACCGCCAATTCGTTTTACAAGAGCTTTGCCGTGGAATGCTCCAAGAACCAAGTGTCTATCGACATGTTCCTCTTCTCTTCCCAGTATCAGGATGTGGCCTCCTTGAGCAACCTCCCGCGGTACACTGGTGGTCAAACATGGTTCTACCCAGGATGGAACGCCGCTAGGGCCGAAGACGCCGTCAAGTTTGCGTCCGAATTCAGTGACTACCTGTCGTCTGAAATTGGCCTCGAGGCCGTCCTCCGTGTTCGCGCTACTACTGGACTGCGAATGAGCACATTCTACGGCAACTTCTTTAACAGAAGTTCCGACTTGTGCGCTTTCCCGGCTTTCCCCCGTGATCAGTGCTATGTCGTCGAGGTTGCTATTGATGAGAACCTTACCAAGAATTTCGTTTGCTTGCAGACAGCGGTACTACATACAACCTGCAATGGTGAGCGTCGCATTCGCGTCATGACTCTGGCTTTGCCGACTACCACCAATCTTGCCGATGTGTACGCCTCGGCCGATCAGTGCGCTATCGCTACCTACTTCAGCCACAAGGTGGTTGAAAAGGCCCTTGGAAACTCCCTGGATGCGGCAAGGGATCTCCCTCAGCAGAAGCTCACCGAACTTCTGCAGACCTTTAGGAAGGAGCTGGGCGGAGGCAGTATGGGTGGCGGCCTTCAGTTCCCGTCCAACCTCCGTGGCCTCCCTGCCCTTTGCCTGGGCTTGACCAAGCATGTTGGTTTGAGGAAGTCGGCCCTTATTCCTTCGGATATTCGCTCTGCTGCCCTCTGCCAGCTCTCTACCCTTCCTTTGCCACTACTTATGCAGTACATCTATCCCAGGCTATACTCACTGCACGACATGCCTGACAATGCCGGTATTCCTGACCCGGAGACGAGCCAGATTGTTCTCCCACCACCCATGAACCTCTCCTCGGAGCGGTTCGTTCCATTCGGCTTGTACCTTATCGACGACGGCCAAACGCAATTCCTCTGGGTTGGTCGTGACGCTGTGCCTCAGCTCATCCTCGATGTTTTCGGGGTGCAGGAACGCACTCAGGTCGCTGTTGGAAAGGGTACTCTGCCAGAGTTGGACAATGACTTTAACGAGCGTGTGAGAAACGTGATTGCCAAGAGCAGAGACCACAAGAGCAAGGGCGTTGGCAGCATCACATTGCCCCATCTGTACATTGTCAGGGAGGATGGTGAACCAAGCCTTAAGCTGTGGGCTCAGACTCTCTTGGTGGAAGACCGGGCGGATCAGGGGATGAGCTTCCAACAGTGGATGGGAATGTTGAGGGAGAAGGTGAGTAGCTAAAGCTTGGTTGGCATTGTTCTTGTTGCTGCTGCTCGTCTGTTTCACTGCCAATGGTTGGAAAGCGGATCTGGGGCGCTAACAGACTTGCAAACAGGTTGTGCAGTAATCGCATTCACACCATCCTAGCGGGCGAAAATGGGTCCTTGATAGTTATGTGTGACGACAAGTGAAGGATGGCGATGGCAGGATTCGGTTAATCAATGCTTATCTTGAGGCCTTTGAGCGAGTGTAAAGAAAAGAGAGACAAGGGTGCAAGTGGCGGAGAGACGCAGAAGCGGACTCGCATAAGACACTGTAATATTTTAAGAATGGTTTTTTTTATACAATGTATCCGGAATAAATCCCATCGTGGCCGGTGAACGAGCGACCTTCCCTTAGACTGGACCATCTCAAACACGGGGAGAATCCCAGGATGGTTTGCTGAGGCTTGCAAACTACATATGTCAAGCGAAAGTCTCATTGTATCATCCATTGTTTCAAAAAGGACAATTCACCAGTGGTTTGACACGCCTCTTAGTGCCTCCTCCACAGCTTGTTGCGCATACGATTTGGAGTACTTGAACTCCCATACAGGCGCTAACGCATATCGGATGGTTGTATAGTGTAGCGGTTATCACTCCGGATTCTGAGTTGAGTCTCAACCCATCAGAACATTCCGGCAACCCCGGTTCGATTCCGGGTACGACCTCTTTTTTGAGGGTTTTCTTCTAATCTCTCAGTGACATTTTTGTGATCTGTCGAGGCTTGGTTCATTGTCGAAGGTTTTTTTTTTTTTT